AGCCCCCAAAACGGGTAAACTGTTTTGTTATAGTGGCAACATTGATTATTTACATGTATGCATAGGAAGAATATCACTATCTGTTCACTAAGTAGTGCACAGCACTATCTCTTACCGTATACGCGATGAGCTTATCTATGCCACAAAAAGATAAGATTTCAAGAGAGGCCAGAAATTTATGGAATAGAATAAAACTTGTAACTTTGTAACCAAAAGTAGTCGCCATCCAAGGAAAAATAGTAATAACTTGGTACTACATACTACTATTACTTAAAAACTAGTTTTTTGTTTTGTTTGTGTTACGTTTTTCCTCATCGTTAATTACTCATCGCTTTACTGAGAATTAAAAGGAAAATTATTAAACTGTTTAATGACGTATCAAGGAGGTTAATGTGAGACACCAGATTCTTGTCCGATTTCTCAGTTAACCGAAATACGTGAACGGAAGTTTCGCGATAGTACAAAGTTTCTATCTGTCCGAATTAATTTATTTATCCATATTTTATTACGAATGATATTACGTGATGAAGTGGATCTGAAACATGGATCGGTTATACTGACAATTTAAAATGTAACAAAAGAAAATCACACGTGAAGAAACAAAGTAAAGACAGTAAGTTTATTATTAGATTCTTGCACATTTGAAAACTCAGAATTTTGAAGAAGCGTTTTGTTAAAGAAACGTGCTTTGTGATAGCGAGCTCTGAGAGCATTGAACTGACACATTAAAATTACTCATAAAGACAAATAATAAAATAAAAATAGGGCTAACATAAAAATTTTTTTAATAAGGTATGAATAAAAATCCTAAACCAAACCATAAAAATACTGTGTATATTTAATATTGCTCAAGTACTTAGAACTTCTGCTAATAAGGTATATAATCCATTAATTAATATTCACCATTGAGACTAATATAGTGCCAAAAATGTCTGAACCTATAGTGTTAAGCCAGTCACGGCCTCCTTCTGTACTTGATGAACAGCCACCACCGTACAATCCTGATGTTCTTTCACATGTGATGGAAGCATCAGAAAATCCAGAAGATACAGAAGAAGAGAAAAGACAATGTCTTAAAGAGGAAGCTAGAAGAAATATAAACCAGGCCGAAGACTGTTGTTGTGACTGTAAAGATGATAACACTGCAGATTGCTGCTGGTTGTGTTTAAGATGCCTTTGCAATCCCTGGGGGTTATTCTGCAGAGCATTAGCAGAATGTTGTTGTTGTGAAACATCAGTAAGTACAGAGACATCAAATGGTGATGGATGTTGTGCAGGTGATAATAACTGTGATTGTGATTGTAATTGCAGTGATTAAATTAAAAAATCAAAGCTGTTGTTTGCTAGTTAAAAGATGATACTTGTCAGCATTATGTACAACATTGACGTTAAATTCTTATTAAATTAAATGGTCATAAGCATTCATGAACTTGTAACATATAATAATTATAATAATAATTATTTATGAGTAATTGTAACACTATACAATATTTCCCAATATAAATATATAATCTCATAATTATACACAAAGATTGAATACTTCAAAAAACATTTACTTCAATCCAGTTGGAATCGAGCCAACGTTTCCCAACAAACCGTGCTAGACGCTATGCCAATTAAACCACGGTTGACCTTGCCAATGGCTAAATAGAGGATCGGTCTGTATGTAATAATAGTCTATTAAAGTTTTTTTTAAATTTTACATTTAGTAATGCAAAGGCTTTTCGAAACTATGATTTTTATTAAATAGTTTAGGTATTATAATGTTTTAAGTACAACTACTGTAAGTAGTATAAAATAAGAGTTATTTTGATGAATTTATTATGGTTCAATGTTATATAAATAAATATATAATTATATATATGGGATTAGTTATATTTTTCTTATTTAATTGTAATGTGTTCCTACATTTTTGCTCGGAAGTATTATTAAAAAAATAAGGAGTGTCAAAACTTGTCAGATTTGTGTTACGTTGTTTGCCGTACAAATTTAAAGAAAATAATATGAAAACTGGGTTTATTTATTGTCTACAATCCCACAAAATCTAGGGGGCTCGTCCGGGATAACCATTGACTTTCAATTATATGGACGTCGGGTCCGCGCTAAAAAGTGTCCGAACTTATAGTGCGTTAAAATCGTATACAGAGCGTCATTCTCGCTTTATTCTTCGTTTGTTCGACTGACAGCGCGCTTGTCAATGATGCCGTATTGTGTAGTAAAACCTTGTAAAAATTACTCAACTTAAGTGAAAAAACAGGATGGTATATCATATTTTCAGTAAGTACTACATTGTGTTATCATAGTTATCATTTAAAAGTGTTATTTTATGCACTAGTATACCGGGTGTAACAGAAAGGTGTGGTCATATTAAAGGACCCACATGTACACTTGATTTAGACCCTGTGTGCAAAATATCGAATAAAAATAAGTGACTTTTAATGTTGATATAAGTTTAATTATGTTTGTATAAATAGTGATTGTCTGAAACAACCACTGCGTTACAACTCTATTGCTAGTTACGTTACTACGACTTCACAAATTCATTCATGAAACCTGGGCGGCCGCAAGCGCGGCGAAAGAACAGCTGACTACAATTGAAATGCCATTGTAAAAACATGATTTGAATATGTTGATAATACGTTAATATTAAGAAACAAAATCTTTAAATACCTAGAAAAATCTTATAATTTCTAAAAATATTATTTTATGCCATACCTAGGTACGCGTACGTACTTATTTACATACAATTTAAAGAATATAAGCCCGTAGTTACGCACGCCTTCATCGTATACACATTCTACATAATTTAGTATTAATACATTTATTTACGACAATTTTACAATAGTGGATACTTTTTTAATTGGTACTTACCTACTGTTCAATTCATACACGTTTTAATGAACTTCCTACGAATTGTAATTCACTGTTGTACAATGTACGAAATATTGACTGGTTTACGATAATTTTGAATAATAGGTTTTTTTTTTAAATTTATTATTCAATTTACAATTAAACACATATGTACATTTAGATTTTCCTTTCAAAAACCCTTTAATGGGTTTATGCGAAAGGAATTGAGTCGCAATAACTAAATACTAATTATAATTTAAACTAAAAAAATAATATACTATAATATAAGTAAATAAAGTTATGAATTCTGCCCTTTAAATCCACCGAAATAGTAACGTTTTACAGCTTGTTTACATTTTTTTACAAGTACGAGTACAATCACTGCACGCACTGCTGGCACATTTCACACATTTACAGGTAAAGTTCAAAATGCCGACCTCCACGCAATATACATATTTCCGTGCGTCGGTACAGAGACTGCTCTACTCTTTGAAGCATCTGCCGAGTAATTTGACTAAACGCCATTTCGATCCGCTGCCTCATTTCTTCTGCGCTTTCACAGGACTCCGCATAAACAATATTTTTTATATGGCCCCATAAAAAAAATCGAGCGGTGTCAAGTCTGGGGACCGCGCTGGTCAGGGTACAGGACCTCCCCGCCCAATCCACTGCGGGAAACGGTCGTTCAGATGGGAACGTTCATTTCGAACGTTCACGCGTAAATGACGCCTCGTCTGTCCACAGTACCGACGAAGCGAAGTCGGGAGACCTCCCAACCTGGTGGCGGTACCAGCGGCAAAATGCCAAACGTGGATCATAGTCCGCATGTAACAGCTCCTGCGTTCTTTGAAAATGGTATGGGTGCTGGCCATCATCCCGTAGCACACGCCACACACTCATATGGTAAACACCACCAAAGGTTGCCGCAGCACAACGAGTACTTGTCTTTGGATTGCCGAGAAAATGTTCCAAAACATCTGCCTCGAATTCTGGGTCTCGTGAACTCGGCCGGCCTTCAGAACTGGAACCACGGAACGATCCACTATTATGAAGTCTCATAACCATCTTCCTGAAGCATTCCAGAGTAGGAAATGGTCGATTTTCTGGGACGCCATCAATAAACTTTGCCCAATAAATTTGGCGAGACTGGCGCAAGCTCCTATCGGCTGCGCCTACGCACAACATCATCTCATAGTAATCACTATTGCTTAAGCGTGACATATTTTAAATAAACACAAAAACGAGACACAAACAAAACGATGACACCTATTTAGTCCTCACAACGCAAACGGCAATTACAGACTGTTACAAAAAATAAAAAAATAGTGCCTCTGCCTCAGCGGCGGCACATCAAAGGACGCCGACTGAAACGCAAATTTTGGAATATAGGGTAACGTTTTCATAATGTACCTACAGGGTGAAATTAAAATTATTACCATCCTTTTAAAATAAGACCCTTCTCATGATACAAATTACATCATTACATACACATTAAACGAATACCTATATCTTACGTATCTACGACCTTCAACGTTGCACTGCATACGCCTTTGTTTGTAAACATAGCTCTGACCATCACCCGTACCACTTCCACACAACGCAAGAACTGACTGGGTGATTACGGATATACTGCACTAAGGAGGCAGTCACCCATCGGAAACCCACGACGTCCGAAACGAAAGCCTAACACACTAACCACTACACCATGGAGCCAGTCGACTATAGGAATCAAATCCACGACCTCCGAAACGAAAGCCTA